ACAGAAGCAGCACAGCGGGAACACCTGCAAGCAGCCCAGTGGGCGTCGGGAGGAGGTTACCCCAGGAGGAGGTCACCCCAGGAGGAGGTCACCCCAGGAGGAGGTCACCCCAGGAGGAGGAGGTTACCCCAGGAGGAGGTCACTCCATGAGGTCATCCCAGGAGGAGGTCACCCCAGGAGGAGGAGGTTACCCCAGGAGGAGGTCACCCCAGGAGGAGGTCACTCCAGGAGGAGGTTACCCCAGGAGGAGGTCACCCCAGGAGGTCATCCCAGGAGGAGGAGGTCCACTCTGGCCCCTCACTCAGCCTATACGCATCACTAACCACCTCCAGGAGATCCCACCTCCACCACCCTCTGAAAAGTTTTGGTAGGAGAAGATTCTGAAGTGTTATCAGGAGGAGAAGCAGACCTTGTTGTCAAAAGGAGCCACATGCAGGAGTCATGTGGACGGACTCTGGGAGGTTAGGACCTGGGGGCCTTTTCTGGTAAAAGTCTGTTTGTAGGAGCAGAAACTAGCACCCTTTCAAGAGGGTTTATTCACTATGACACAAAGGCTCCCAGAGAAGCAGCCTTAGAGACAGCAGACAGCCTGGTGTGTGTGTCTATGTGTGTGTCTATCTATCTGTGTGTGTGTAAACAGTAACCAGACTTCCTTCCTGGTCCTGGATTCTGAGGACTGAGCTTCTCAGCTTTAGAAATGAGCTCCTAAAAATGGCTGCTGACGGACTCAGTGTGGATCCTCCTTATGATATAATCAAAACAATAACACGGGGGGAGAGGATTTCCGTCCAGTCTGCTGCCAGCCCCCACATCTGTGTGACAAAAGCCATGTCCAGATGATGCATTTGAGTTCCCTCTGAAACCACAGAACCCACACAGATGTTTAAAAATCCCTCCACTCCTGAGAAAACAACCCTGACAGCATCTGAGTTCCTCCCCAACATGAAGTAACCCGCTTAAACCACCAGTCATCTGGGTCCGATGCTGGATTCTCCATCTGATGAGAACCATGTCACCAAAGGTTTCCACCTCAGAGCTCTCTAACCCAGTGGTCCCTAAGCCCCGGTTCGTGGACCGGTACCGGGCCGTGGATCAGCTGGCTCCGGGCCGCCAGAGGCCCAAGTAATAACGAATTGTTTCTGTTGTATTTATTCTCCTGGAAACATGGATTTATGGCGACCGGTGACTCCCACAGACCGAGGCCACTTTGTGTAATTTATATAGAAATAAGAAAGAAATTAGAAATGCCGATCCAGAATCCAGATCCAGTTTTTTTTTTAAGTCCGATTAAAATAATCCATTCCTGATGCTGAGGTAATAGACTATTTTTATTCAGATTGTTTGTGTGTTTTGCTTTTTTAATACAGTTTCCAATATTATTGTCACTTTTTACTGTTCACTGATGCCATTTCCGTGAGTTATCTATAATTTGGTCTGTTTAGTGTTTGTCCCTGAATAAACAGCTCAGTGTCTCTTTACCAACCAGTGTGTGTTATTCAGACTCCCCTAACTCAGCTGCTAGTTGTTATCAGATAAACATAACATATAAACATATAAAATATATATAAATAACTTTAGACTTTAGAACATGCTCTGATAGGCTGGGATCTCTAGCGTCTGTCAAAGGCCCCCAGTCAGCAGCAGGGCTGCAGCTCCAACCACAGCCCTGTTAAAACTATAGTCCTTCTAACAACCAGCACCCAAAGATGAAAGAAAATCAAGCTAAAGTGAGTCTGGGAGACACCACCAGCAGGCTACACCCGCTCCCCCCCCTCTGACAGGCGCCTGAGACTTCAGAAGGGGGGGGTCATTTCCAGCTGTAATGTCCGAGGCACAGAGCTGACTCAGCAGTCGGGCTCCTGCCTCCATCTACCAGCAAACGGCTGGCTGTGCTCCAGCCCTCATCAGGCCCACTGTGATGCCTGAGGAGATGGAGAGGCTGGCAGCTCAGACTGGAGCTCATTTAGCAAAGTAAAGTTAGAGAAGAGCAAGGCCTCCAGTTAAAAATAAACACTGGAACTAAAGACATTCAAAGCGTTTCGCCATGGCCTGAAGCATCCCTCCACTTTGTCTAATTTATTACAGAATATTTTACAGAACCAGCAAAGCCTTTGTGTTTTCATGAATTACTCCAGGAGCTAAATTCAAATCCTCCCCCCTCCTCAGAAACCGGACGGCTCTACTCCACCATCTGCTATGCTACAAGTCACTTTTCAGGCTTACATCCAGCTGTGTGAGCAGCCATCAGGAGCTAACAACAGCCAACAGGAGCTCACAACAGCCATCAGGAGCTAACAACAGCCATCAGGAGCTAACAACAG